CACGCACACGCACACGCACGCACGCACGCCCGCACGCGCGCACGCACGCACACACACACACACACACACACGACACACGCACACGCACACGCACACACACACACGCACACGCACACGCACACGCACACGCACACGCACACGCACACGCACACGCACACGCACACGCACACGCACACGCACACACACACACACATGCCTGGGCATGCCGCCCGGGCATGCCGCCCGCGAGTGCGGCCCAGGCCATGCCGTGCAGCCGCTCCGCCCCGCTGCCCCGCTGCTGCCCGCAGGACCTCCACCGTCCCCGCCGCGTTGCCGCCCCCTCCACCGTTCCCCCTTGCCGATCGCCCCTCGGAGCTTCCCGGGAGAGAGCTCTGTTCCTCTCGCTGCCCTTTGCGCTGGCCCGGGGCGGGGGGCACCGAGGGCCCCAGGGTGGTCACCAGGCCGACCTGCGGCAGCGGGCATCGAGGGGGAGGGGGGGAGGAGGAGGAGGAGGAGGAGGAGGAGGAGGAGGAGGAGGAGGAGAGGAGGAGGAGGAGGAGGAGGAGGAGGAGGAGGAGTAGGAGGAGGAGGAGGAGAAGCACAGCCTTCTTCAGCGTGCCCAGCCCGTGCTCAGGAGGGGCCCACAGACCAGGCACCGGCGACACGCAAGGAGTGACCCTGGGCTGGAGCGACCCTCGGGGCGCGGCTTCAGGGAACCGCACGGAGGCAAAATCCGAGCGAGCAGGCCGCTGCTGGAGGGACCCCTGTGGGCCCGCACCAAAAAAGGTCACTCCAGCGAAGGATCACTCTCACAGTCGGACCTGGGACAGAAGGGCCTCCTTCAAGAACACGAGGCCCTCCGCCGACCAAAACGAACAGAACATCCAAGGGTACCCTCCCAAGGACGCGCGAGAACATCCAACAAGCACGAAGCACATTAGGGCCCCGTCCCCGAACCGACCTGGATCTTAGATCGCGGTCCGACCGCACGCGCAGCCGAGAGGAGCAGGGCGCGGCGCTAGAGTCCTCCGCCGGGGTAGGCGAACTCCACGCCACGGAACTCCAGGTGGCCCTCCGCCCGCGCTGGTCGGCCCTGGAGGCCGCGATGGGGGGGCCCGGGCAGGTGGGCGGGGGGGGGGGGGCCCCCGCTCTCCTCCTCCTGCCTCCTCCTCCGGCTGCATCCTCCTCCTACTCTGCTGCTGCTGCTGCTGCTGCTGCTGCTGCTGCTGCTGCTGCTGCTGCTGCTGCTGCTGCTGCTGCTGCTGCTCCCCTCCCCGCCTCCCCGCCCGAATCCAAGCGGACTCAGGCCAGAGGAGCACCCCTCGAGAGCACGAGACCCTCCGCCGGCCCAAGCACACAGAACATCCAAGGGGGTACCCTCCCCAAAATGCATAAGAGCATCCAACAAACACGAAGAACATTAGGGTACCCTGCCCGAACCGAACTCGATCTTATACCTCGGTCCGACTGTACGGCTGGTCCGCGTCGCGATGGCGCGGGCGTTGGTTTCTGACGCCGCGTGGATCGTTCAGTATTTAAGGATCGCGGCTCTCCTCCCTTCCCCGCCTCCCCGCCCAAATACGGCTGGTTCGCGTCGAGATGGCGCGGGCGTTGGCTGCTGACGCCGCGTGGATCGTTCAATATCTAACGATCGCGGCTTTCCGACAAAGCAGATCGCTTGACATCGGCCGATTCTGGGCCACTGGTGGCTCCTAAGCTCGAACGCCCGCGCCGGGGTCGCCGTCGCGTCAACACGGCGCGCACCTGCCGTACCCACGCTCCCCTTCTCAGCGGCTGTAGCCACGCCTGCTGAGGCGGCCCACACGCTGGTATGGCCCCGCCATGCCGTCCTGGAGGCCTCCCCCACCTCGCCCGCAGTGGTCTTCACCTGGTCCTCGGGATGCCGCCTCTTCCCCTGGGGTGGTTCCGCGAACAGCTCCCCGAAGCTTCGCTGCGCCGCCGTTGCCGCGACGCGCTGGGCTCTGAGCGCAGTGCAGCGTGCCTCCTCCTCGCTCCGCTCCTTCCGTCCGAGCGCAGACTGCCATTGGTCTCAACACCGCGGCGGGCTTCCCTCGATAGACCCGGCAGGGCTTTCCGCGCTACCAGAACCATATCTGCGGCGACGGGCGGCGCCGTCCTGCACGCAACACGGGCGACCTGCCGCAAGCAGCCCTGCTTGCCCCACAGGCAGACTTGGAAATGCCGTCCCCGTCAGCACCTTGCATCCGCACGCCCTCGGGTGTGCCCGTAAGGTCTCTCTCTCTCTCTCTCTCTATATATATATATATCTACAGCATCTCCTGGGCCGCCTGCTGCTCCGCCAGCTGGGAAGAGTAGGAGAAGGGAACGGAGGAGGAGGAGGAGGAGGAGGAGGAGGAGGAGGAGGAGGAGGGGGGACAGCGGGAGGAGGATGAGCAGTGGCAAGGGAATGATGATGATGATGATGATGATGATGATGATGATGATGATGATGATGATGATGATGATGATGATGATGATGATGATGATGATGATGCTAATGATGATGATGAGGAGGAGGAGGAAGAGGAGGAGGGGGAGGAGGAAGACGAGGAGGAGGAGGAAGAGAAGGACACGTGCAAACCCAAGACGCACCAACGATGTTGCAATCAACCCTGCCTCAAAGTTCCTTCTTCACAAATCCCTACACAGCTTTACTTTCATTATGGGAAGTGGACCATCATAAGACAACCGTTTGGGAACCCTCAACCTTGCCAAGCCACAGTTTCTGAGACTTCAACGCCGCGGATCAACATGACTGTTGCGTCCTAGCAATCCCAAATCGTGCAAACAGTCCTTGGGACTTCAACACCGCGAATCAACGTGACCGTCGCGTCCTGACAATCCTAAATCGTACCAGAGAGCTTCTGGGACTTCAACCATGCGAAACCTTGAAACTGCGGCAAACGTTTAACACGAATGTGCGCGGAGCTATGGCGAGAGCAACTTTTTGAAAAGGAGCTGTCCTACATCTTTGAAGCAACTTCAAGCTTTTGAGACGAATGTGCGCGACAATAAAGCGAGAATCACATGTTGAAAACCAACCGCCCTCCATGCTTGAAGCTGCTGCAAACCTTTCGGACGAATGTGCGCGGCGCTTGTGAGCGATCCACCCACCATACGTGAAACTGTTGCACATCTCAAACTTCAGGATCATACAGGGTGAGGAAGTCTCAGGCGAAACGCCTGGCCCGCCCTACCGACACGTCTGGGGGTGCGTCATGAAGACATTTCTTATCAGGACAAAAGGATGGCGGAGGAGGAGGAGGAGCAGGAGGAGAAGGCGTATGAGAAAGAGGACGGGACGAGGAAATGGGCAAGACACCTGTACTCACACCCCTGCTCTCGAGGCTGCGCGCGCCCCCCCTCGGAGCTGGCGGCATCCCCGACCTCCCGCCGGCCGCAAGTGCGGTGGCGCTGCAGCACGCGCCGGAAAGCCCCAGCGCTGGCGCTCGGCGCGCGCGGGGCTGACGCCCAGTGCCAGGTGCCAGCAGCAAGTCTCGGGCGCGGGGCAGAGTCGTGGATGGCGGCGGCGGAGCGCAGCGCCACGGAGGCCCACGCCAGCACAGAGGCCGAGCGCGCGGCGCTGGAAACCGAGCGCGCGGAAACCCCGCCGAGCGAACGGCCGAGGCCGAGCGCCAAGAGCAGGCCAAGGCGGCGCCCACGCTTGCGGCAGGGGCGGCGCCCCTGGGAGACAGTTCTCAGCCAGCGAGCTTGCAGCGGTTGGTGTGTGTATGTGTGTTTGTGTGTGTGTGTGATTATGTGTGTGCGTGCGTGTGTGCGTGCGTGCGTGCGTGTTTGTGTATGTGTGTGTTCGTGTGTGTTCGTGTGTGTTCGTGTGTGTGCGTGCGTGCGTGCGTGCGTGCGTGCGTGCGTGCGCGTGTGTGTGTGTGTGTGTGTGTGTGTGTGTGTGTGTGTGCGTGCGTGCGTGCGTGCGTGCGTGCGTGCGTGCGCGTGCGTGCGCGCGTGTGTGTGTGTGTGTGTGTGTGTGTGTGCGTGCGTGCGTGCGTGCGTGCGTGCGTGCGTGCGTGCGTGCGCGTGTGTGTGATTATGTGCGTGCGTGCGTGCGTGCGTGCGTGCGTGCGTGCGTGTTTGTGTATGTGTGTGTGTGTGGTGTGTGTGTGTGAGTGCTTTGCGTGTGTGTAACTGTGTGGGCGTGCGCGCGTGCGTGCGTGCGTGCGTGCGTGCGTGCGTGTGTGTGTGTGTGTGTGTGTGTGTGCGTTGTGTGTGTGTGTGTGTGTGTGTTGTGTGTGTGTGTGGTGTGTGTGTGTGTGTGTGCGTGCGTGCGTGCGTGCGTGTGTGTGTGTGTGTGCGTGTGTGTGTGTGTGTGTGTGCGTGTGTGTGTGTGCGTGTGCGTGTGCGTGTACGTGTGCGTGTGCGTGAGCGCGTGCGTGTGTGGGGGGGATTATTTGTGTGCGTGCGTGCGTGCGTGCGTGCGGGCGTGCGATCGTACGTGCGCGCGTGTATGCGTGCGTGTGTGCGTGAGCCTGCGTGTGTGTGTATGAAAGAGAGAGAGAGAGAGAGAGTGCGTGCGTGCGTGCGTCCGTCCGTGCGTGCATGTGTGTGTGTGCTTCTTTTTTTTCAAATCGTTATATCTCTCGCAGAGTTCAGACGTGCCCTTACTTTGCACACACACATACAAGCGTAGCGAACCACTCCAAATTGTCTCAGGTTATTCTGAATGTCTGTACCATTGTGACAGCTCGTGTCAGTGTAGGGAAAGCCGCAAGACGGCCGAGCCACTTTGAGTCAGACCACAGTCCTGGATTGTGTTTTTGTTTTCCCTCTCTCCTTCTCGTTTCTGTCTTCCGTTTCCTATCTCCGCGTCTCGTTTTCCCCCTGGAACTGAAAAGCAACAGGCTGTGTAGTATCAGTTCTTATCAGTGCCATTTGATTGCAGTGCCGCTTCTCACACCGCAGACATTTCATGTTCAGACCTGCGAGCGGGGGTTTAGGAGCTCGCTCAAGCCGACGTTGTCGGCGCATATACGTATAAGCTCCTGCTCGGATGATCAGCGCCCGCTTGAGCTGGGACAGCGACGAGACCCTTAAGCCCCCACGGGGACTCAAAGGCGAACTCAAATCAATATTGGTTGACAACTACTCATCGCAAGTGCGATGCGGGGAGAGTGGAGCACTTACCGTCGAACGGCTGTGTGCCGCACCCTGGTCTACGTGATTCATGCCCTACATCTTGTCAGTATGCAGCAAAGACGTGATCGTGTGTTTGTTGACCGTGAGATAGCTCTACGCATCGCCAGCTTCACCACGTCATATTCACGATGGCTATGTCGATTCCAGCAGACGGCGATCTACCCAGATGTCTTCCATTGGTGGCTAAGGTTCCACGATCACGAACAGTAGGGGTCACGAGGACATCGCGATGGCAGCAGTTTCACTCATTCACAATTCAGGTATGTTACCATGCCCTTTCCCTTGGTGAACATGTCGGTTGGACATGCGTCCAACTTCTTGCTGCGCGCATTTTAGTTGTGCTTCGCAGGCTCTACCGTACACCTACAAACAAACAAGGTCGGGCCCTGCTCATCCTCACCTTCCTGGCGCTCTGTGCTCCACGTGTAGCTGGTGCGCTTCAATCAGAAAACGATGACGGGATTCGAGCTCACGGAAGGCAGCGAACGGCACTACACAAACTTCCTGGCCCGCAGATGTTGGCAACGTTGGTTCGAGAGCTTCAATTGATCACCGGATGGTCCTCTCAGCTCGCGGTACACGCAGATCTGAAAGCCTCAGGCCCACATTCGACGTTGGTGGCATCCACATTCACGGCTGCGCTTTGGCAGTTTCTATGCTGTCGACCGTAGGCCATCTTCATCGAGGCTATGCATACTGCGCAGTTGGATTTGCTTAAGTGTTTGCCGCTGGCAGGTGTCAGCACTTATGTCTCCGTCCTCCTCGCAGCCGTCACCTCGTGCATTTCTGTGCGCCATGCTCGCAGCCTCTACCTTGGGGGCCGTAAGTCTCGCATGCGTGCTCACCGCCTATGCCGCAGCTTTTCACCGCTCATGCAGGCAGCTTTCTCAAGACCTGGGGAGGCGAGCATCGCGGAGGCGCTAGAACTGTTTCAGGTTGTTTACCAACAGGCTCGTTGCGCATTGGACCCTAGGCCTCAGGCCAAGGGCGAAAAATCCGCCCCATCGAGCTTTGTGTACCAACTAGGCTCAGAGAGCTTGTACATCGGCCAGGGTGCGCAAATTCGGGGCTCCGCAGGATACTCAGGATGCGTTGGACGGCTTCGGGAACACCTTCGAGGCCTTCGCTGCATTGCCCAAGGGACCCCAACTCAGGAGCGAAATCGCTACCTACAACTCGCTCCTGGATGTATTTCCTGGCTCCTCCTGTACTTCCTGGCCTTACCCTCACGACCCAGGTACATGCATTCGAAAGCGCACATATCGCCTACACTCGCCCGCTCGCCAATAACCTCAACAATCCTCATCTCGGCCGTTTGCGCGCTCGATTTCGACAGCACCCACGAGCGCGACAACGCAGACGGGCACGACGCAAGTGCGAACACAGTTCAGAGGCACATACGGCACTTAATCTGACATGGTATGGGAAGCGCATCACCACATTATGTTCACAGCGCATGGGCAATTCACAATACTTTACTGCACGTCATAGATGGCAACACCTCCTTCAACGTACATTTGGTGACCTGTATGATGTTCTTATGCAGCAACGGGTGCAAGCACGTCAGGGCTTGGGGCCGCTGAACCTCACGGGCTCGGGCAATGCGATCCTCGTGCTGAAATGGGCCTCCACGCTCCCGCTGTCCATCTCGTGGGAGCTCGTTTGCAAGGTGCGCGCGAACGGCGCAGACTATCTATACAAGGCTTGGGAATTCACTTCGCTGTACCCGTTCTGGATGGATCGCATTAAAGTTCGTTCTTCCCTGAAGTCCTACCTCCATTCGGTTAAGCCCCCCACGCCTGGCAGCAGCTTTGCAAAGGTTTCTTCCACGTCTGAAATGACTCCCACGAAGTGTTGGCTCGCCCGCGCGGCGCAGCAGGCGCGTCCGTCACGCCCAGCCTGGGCGACGCGGGCGGCCAAGTCTGTTCGCATCATAGTGCGTCGCTCCGACGACGTCTCTGCAATGTTGCTCGCGCCTTTCGGCGACAAGATGTTCAGGATTTAGGCCGGCTTCGTCTGTGTGATTTTCACTTGGCGGCGCGCGGTGAAGATATGGAACGTATCCCGAGGAATGGACGAATGCCCCTCATTACCCCAACCCGACCACGACCCCAACGTGACAATGCCCAAACTCCGTGTCGACGGTGGCTTTCGGCCCAGGGCCTCGATAAAAAACATTTACCCGAACTAGATGCGCCGACGACCCCGCCCGATCCAACCCATCCCTCTCGACGGAAGACAATGCCAGGCCCTTGGAGAGGCCCGCCAGGACTTCGAGAACAGGGCCCTCGAGGCCCAAGACCCTATCAGCTTCGCGGTTGAGGACAAAGACCCCAGTACCTTATGGCGCATGAATGGACTTTATCATCTAGCCAGGTGGCCCCACGTGATTGCGAAAGCTCCTGATCGTTGGCGCGTTGTTGATACTTCGAAGGCTGCAGTTGTTAGCTGGCATCGGCTCCTATGCGACTATGCCATCCCAAAGTCCCTCAGGGCCAAAGGAGAAGGACCCCTCAATGCCGAGCGCGCTCCCTACATCTACCCTACGGTCAAGCTGAAATGTTGGGGCGGCGGTCGACTTCCCCCCGAATTGGGACGGTATAGATGTAAGAAGCCTCAACACAGCTGTTTTGGGAGCATCTGCAGTTTCGTTCGTTTGCCGCCACGATCACTATACAGATCAATCAGCCGTGCGTTCACCTTTCTCTCTAACCAGATGAACCCAGGGCGGTCTTTCTCATCCCTGGAGACCGCTGCGCCTAATCTGCTGGACCAGTATAAGCATCTCGTTTTGGCGCCAGCGTTGGGCCCATGCTTGTGCAGGGGCTGCCAGACGCCTATGACCTGCCCAGGCCTCGCTGTGGGAGACGCTGGTCGGGCGTACGAGGCCATCGCAGTAGACAAGATCCATGAGTGTCTCGATCGCTTGTTTGCTAAGCTTGACGCAAGTGAAAAAGAAGGCAAGCGAAGATGCGTCACGGTCATGCGTACACAACGATCACATGTGTTCTCTGGGGGCTCCGGCTACACGACGCTTCTGCGATCGCACGGTTTGGTATACCAATAGTGTTCGGAGGGCTCTCGAAGGCTTCTCGGGAATGAGACTGTTTCCGGTCAGCGGTCTGGTTGTTCAGCAGCTTTGTGGGATTCCAATTGGGGGACCTCTATGCGGGGCTGTCCTATGCTGTACTCAGTGACCCAGAGTTCCAGACTGACTCCCACTACCCAGGCAGATGGAGCACTGGCATGACGGGGCGATACGTTGACGACATTGTTCTGGCCTCAAAGGTTTGTTGTAGCAGATGCCTTAAACGCCTAATGCGGCAGGTCTATGGCTCCACGGTCAAGTTTGACTACGCCGAACCCACCCAGCTTAACAGTACTACGCTAATGGTCCCTTACCTGGAGGCTGTGCTTTTCTTCTCTCTCACGGGGGCCACAAGCTGGGCCATCCGTAAAAAGGAGGCGCAGGGGTTCTCGGGGCGGATATCGGACCAGGCCAAGCAGTCACTACCCCCATACCTAGGTGCTTTCCCACCTACCCTACTTGAACAACATCGCGCTGAATTACGGGGTCGACTTAAACGATGGCAACAGCTGCGAGTCTGTGATCTCAGCTGGCTTCTTTTGATTTGCAGCGATGTACTTCTACTTCTACGACTCGGATACAATGGGCAACACGTTCACTGTATATGGCATGATATTATCTCTCCCTCCTCGCAGTAGGAAATCAGCAACGCGGCTATTAAATTGTTTCTTCAAACCTCCAGCACTCTGCGGGCCCCGCCGCCCACCCTGGCAGCTGTCTTTTCTCAGAGCCTTGCGGACTCAGCTACTCCTGCTCAGAAAGACGACCCGACCTCGCCCACGTCAGCAGCGAGTGCGATGTTCGGCTCTTGGCGCAAGGGCGGCGGCAAGGGCGACGGCCGCCCTGGAGGCGGGCCGCGCGCCCCCCGCTTCCAGCAGCCCCAGTGGTCCAAGGGCGTCAATTACACCAACTACGCCCACGGCAGCGCTGGCGGCGGCGCGCTGGGTGGCTTCTCAGGGATGCTCAGCCAGATGACCTCCGCGATGGACAACATCGCAGCCTTGCGTGAGCTCGCGCGCGCGGGGAACGCCTTGGTCCAGACGCAGCAGCAGCCCACTCAGCCAGCTCCGACGGCCGCGGGGGCAGCCCCGCCAGCCGCGCCGTCTGGGACGGCACCCGGTGCTGGCACACCGGGGGCCCCGACCAACTCGGAGCCCGCGCGGGAGCTCGTCGGTGCTCTCACGGACGTGCTCCGTTCAGTGCGCCTGAGGACTCGCGGCTGCAGCAGACTGCGGAACGCCTGCACAATCTCGTTGGCAACCCGTCCACGTCTAACGGGTCGATCGCGGGCAACTCCCAGCTGGCTCAGCACCCCGTCATCCGGCAGTTGCAGTCTAACATGGCAACGCTCCAATCCACCGTCGACGCCCACGGCCAGCAGATCGGGGCGATCAACACGACGCTGGCTAGCGCTGCGGAGGACTCGAGGGCGACAAGGGAGATGATGGAGAGGATGATGGCCATGCCCCACCGTCCGCCTGTCACGCCACAGCGTGGCCCACCACGTCCCCCTGCCCTCGCGCCGTCGTCCCTGGCGGCGCCTGGGGGTGGCCCTGCGGGGCTCGAAACCGCTGCCGCGACCGACGAGAAGGGCCCGTTGGTCAAGCCTCAGATGACGGTGGCCGACCACGAGCATGCCCTTGCTATCTTGGGGATTGGCGCTCGGCGGCAGAATATGACCCAGCTAGGCCAAGAGGTGGCCTCTACTGAGGGCGCCATGATGCCATTCAGTGAGTGGTGGACACAGGTGGCTCGCTGCAAGAGACATTCTCAGTGGCAGACTGAGCTCCAGGCGATGGGCTTACCAGCTGACAATCAGGCCTCGGCCTCGCACGATGGGACCTGGAGCGACACCGACCTTCAGACGATCACGCTCTCATGATTGGCTATGCAAGACGACAGCTACTCGATGCTGACTCTTAGTGGAGCTACTGTGTGGCCTACGCTCCGCGTGTTCTCGTTGCTGATCCCTTTAGTCATCTTCGTCTGGACTGCATACCAGACTTGCATCTGCATCGGCTTCGCACGGCTCTCGGCCAAAAAGCTGCTCACCTTTGCCATGCAGCGCGTGCTATCCATCATTCCCCTCTTGGGGCTGAGAGTTATCTCGGCCTTTATCTGGCCCAATGCGGCCCAGTGGTCAAGCACACTCATGGCTCTGCTTGGAGTTTTCTCTCGGAGCGAGTCTGATGTCTCTGCCAAGCCGGTTCAAAATGGCCAAGGAAACAATGAATCGTGGGCATGGTGTGCTGCTATATTTCAGCCGCTCCTCGTTGGAATATGCGCATGGATGGGTCAGTGACGGCCGACACCTACACCGATGACTGGCAAGCTGACGAGATGACGGCCCTGCTGCCCCGCCGCAGCAGACCAGAGTTGACAGGTTGCTTCTTTCCCTCCCCTGATCTACTTGGTCGGGATGTGTGTGCGTGCTTCCTTTTTCAACATATGATTGGACTCGTCGTTTATAGTTCTCACAGAGTTCAGACGTGTCCTTACTTTGCACACACATATATATATAAGCGTAGCGAACCACTCCAGATTGCCTTAGGTTATTCTGAATGGCTGTACCATTGTGACAAATCGTGTTAGTGTAAGGAAAGCCGCACGACGGCCGAGCTACTTTGAGCCAGGCCACAATCCTGATGTGTGTTCTTGTTTTCCCTCTCTCCTTCTCGTTTTTGTCCTCCGTTTCCTCTCTCCGCGTCTCGTTTTCCCCCTGGACCTGAAAAGCAACAGGCTGTGTAGTATCAATTCTTATCTGTGTCATTTGATTGCAGTGCCGCTTCTCACACCACAGACATTTCAGGTTCAGACCTCCGAGCGGGGGTTTAGGAGCTCGCTCAAGCCGACGTTGTCGGCGCATATACGTATGGGCTCGTGCTCGGTTGATCAGCACCCGCTTGAGCTGGGAAAACAACGAGACCCTGAAGCCTCCACGGGGACTCAAAGGTGAACTCAAATCAATATTGGTTAACAACTACTCATAACGAGTGTGTGTGTGTGTGCGTGCGTGCGTGCATGCGTGCGTGCGTACGCGTGTGTGGGATTGTGTGGTGTGTGGTGTGTGGTGTGTTGTGTGTGGTGTGCGGTGTGTGGTGTGTGGTGTGGTGTGTGGTGCGTGTGTGTGTGTGTGTGTGTGTGTGTGTGTGTGTGTTTGTTTGCGTGTATATGCGTGTGTGTATGTGTGTCTGGCCTTTTCTTGGTTTTCTCAGTTCGCTTCTCGTAGAGCAATTGGGCCCCCCGATGCATCCAGCCTCAGATGCGTTCAATTGTTGGACCAAGTCCCCACATTAGTTTGCCATTCGACCCGAACACGCTTCTCCAGAAAAAAACGCCTGGGCTCCCCCCCTCCCCCAAGGGCCCCCCCCCGCCAGCGCCCGCCTGAGCGCGGTGGCAAAAACGAGCGGCAGCGCAACTGACTATCCGGCCGTAGGCGTCCTGTCGAAACTGGTGCGATAATCGTCTTCATCATGCTCGTCTTCGTCACCGTCATCACAATCATCAACCACGCACGCTGACCATCACGTATTACTACCCTCTTCCCCCCCAGCTCCTCCTCCTCCTTCTCCTCATCCTCCTTCTTCTCCTCATCCTCCTCCGCCTCCTCCTCCTCCTCCTCCCTCTCCTCCTGATAAGCCCTCTACTTCTCCTTTTCTTCCTCCTCCTCCTCCGCCTTCTCCTCCTCCTCCTCCTCATCCTCCCCCTCCTCCTGATAAGCCCTCTGCTTCTCCTTCTCTTCCTCCTCCTCCTCCGCCTCCTCCTCATTTTCGCTCCTCCTCCTCCTCCTCCTCCTCCTCCTCCTGCTCCTCCCTCCCTCTCCCCTCCCCCCCTCCTCCCCCCTCCCCCCCTCCCTCTCTCTCCCTCCCCCCTTGCCTTCCGCGCTCCATCCTCACCCTCCCCGCGCGGTGGGCGGCGGCCGCGGCCTCAACATCGCGGGGCAGGCGGCCGGAACCCAGGCCGATGCTGGGCTCGGACTCGAGCAGCTCCCAGGCCTCCAGCCAAAGGGGCCAACCCACTCTGCGGCGTTCGCTCGAGCACGCCGCCTCGCCGCCGCCACCGCCATCGTCGGTTGCCGTGGTCGCTGTCAACCTCCTCGTCGTCATCCTCCTCCATTCCTCGTGTCCTCCTCCTCCTCCTCCTCATCCTCCTCCTCCTCCTCCTCCATTTCTCGTGTCCTCCTCCTCCTCCTCCTCCTCCTCCTCCTCCTCCTCCTCCTCCTCCTCCTCCTCCTCCTCCTCCTCCTCCTCCTCCTCCTCCTCCTCCTCCTCCTCCTCCTCCTCCTCTTCCATTCCTTTTCCTTATACAGAACTCCTCTCTGTCGCACCCCGAGGCTGGTCGGAAGGGCGGGCCGGGCGCTTCGCCTGAGGTTTCCTTAGCCTTTATGATCATGAAGCTTGAACTCACCTGGCAAGCGACCCAGCCATATGCAGTTGTGAATACCGCAGTTGTGGGCATCGTCTTCCGTGGAGCTCCTGATGGACCACAAAACGCTGTAGTGAGTGGGGGAGACGCATGCGAACTTTGACCCTGGGGCCTTCGGTGGAGCTCCCTATGGGCCACGAAACGGTATAGTGGGCGGGGGAGACGCATGCGACTTTAGCCACTGGAGCCTTCGGTGGAGGTCCCTATGGGCCACGAAACGCTGTACTGGGTGGGGGAGACGCATGTGGACGGTGGCATTGAAGCCTTCGGTGAAGCTCCCTATGGGACCACGAAACGCTGTGACGGGAGACGGAGGCGGAACGTGCTACTGGGGCCTTCGGTGGAGCTCCCAATAAGTCCACGAAACGCTGCACTGGATGGGGAAGCGCATGCGGACGGTGCCGATGGCGCCTTCGGTGGAGCTCCCTATGGGACCACGAAGCGCTGTAATGGGCTGGAGAGGCGCAGGCGGAAAGTGCTCCTGGGGCCTTCGGTGGAGCCCAATAGGGCCACGAAAGGCTGTGCTGGATGGGGAAACGTTTTCGGACGGTGCCAATGGCGACATCGATGGACCTTCCTATGGGGCCACGAAACGCTGTCCTCCCCCTCCTCCCTCCTCCTCCTCAGCCACTTCACCCTGAGGGAGAACCAAGCTCCTGAGCCGAGCCTGCTCTTGCGGCGGGGCCGCGAGGAGCTAGCCACCAGGAAGCCAGCACCCGGAAGCCTCCCCCTCGTCCTCCCCCTTCTCCATCCCTTCTCCTTACAAGGAGCTCCTTCCTGTCGCACTCCTGGGCGTGTCGGTAGGGCAGGGCCAGCGTGTCGCCTGAGACTTCCTCATCACTCCTGATCCTGAAGCTGGCAAGCTGCAGCAGCCTCAAGGATGGCGGGTGGGTCGCTTCAACATGTGGATCTCGCCTCAGCGCCGCGCACGCTCGTGACTAAAAAATCGCAGCAGTTTCGAAGGATGGAGGGCGGCTGGCTTTCAAAGTATTGCTCTCGCCGTAGCGTCGAGCACATTCGTCTTAAACTCTTGCACCTACTTCAAGGATGGATGGCAGCTGTTGTTCAAAATGCGGTTCTCGCCCAAGCGCCGCGCACATGTGTCGCAAACGTTAACTGCAGTTTCAAAGGATGGAGCGCGGATGGTTTTGAGAATGTTGCTCTCGCTCTCGCGCCGCGCATATTCTTTTTGAAAGCTGGCAACAGGTTCAAGGCTAGAGGCCGGTTCTTTTTCAAAATGTTGCTCTCGCCATAGCGCCGTGCTCATTCGTTTTAACAGTTTACAACCGACTCAGGGGTCCGTATGGCTCAAGTCCCAAGAACCGCCTTCTGGTGCGGATCAAGACTGTTCGGACGCAGCAGCCACGTGGGTTCGCAGCGTTGAAATCCATTCGCGGCGCTGAAGTCCCAGGAACGGTGCTCTGGCACGATTGACGGATCTCAAAAGGTTGTCGTCCAATAGGGCACTCCCCGCCACTAACATTTATTCTTGCAAGGACCAACGAAGAGGGAACTTGGAGAGAAGGTCTATTGCAACACCCTTGATGCGCCTTGGGTTCACACTGCTCCTCCTCCTCCTCCTCCTCCTCCTCCTCCTCCTCCTCCTCCTCCTCCTCCTCCTCCCCCTCCCCCTCCTCCTCCTCCTCCTCTTCCTCCTCCTCCTTCTTCTCCTCTCAACCGCTCTGTACAGCCGTGGGGCTTCCCTTTGCGAAGATGGCGGTCAGGAATCCAGAGGGGGGACCACGCATCACCATGACCCGTCCTCCTCATCCTCCTCCGCCTTCTGCTCGCCCTCGTAGTTATCACTGACTGCCAAGGGGAGGACGGAGGGCGGAGCGAGGAGGCTGGCGAAAGCCAGGGGAGCACGTGGGGCGAGCACGGCGAACGTGGCAGCACCACGCACGTGATGTGTGATGGCGCAGCGCTGAGACGACCGCCAGGTGGCTCGAGAGCGGAGCGGAGGCAGTCGCTGGGACCCGGGACCGAACGGCCAGTGGAGAGCGGAGCACGGGTAATCTGAGGGCAGGTGCGCGAAGGGGGGCCCGAGAGATCGTGAGGGCAGGGAGGGCAACGCGGGAGGCGAAGGCGCAGAGAAGAGACAGGAAGGAAGTGGCTCATGGGTGGCGAAGATGGGAAGGAAGCGTCATCGGAGGCGAGCGAGGGGGGCAAGTGAGGAGTGGAGGCTCAGAAGTTCCCTGACCTTCTGAGAAGTTTTTAAAGCCTTTCCCGAAGACGCAGAAAACTTCTCAGAAGGCGCAAGGGCTTCTGAGAAGTCTCGCCGCCTTCGGAGAAGGCCTTCTCCTTCTCACTTCCCCCCTCGCTTGCCGCCGACGTCAGGGAGGATCAAGGAGTTGTGCGGCAGGGTGAGGCAAGGTGGGGGAACGAGGTGCACAGAGACACGCGCAACAGCGAGCCAAAGGGTCGGGGCAGCTGGGAGGGAGACGATGGCGGCCGGCGGTGGCAAACGAGCCTTCGCCAGAGGGCGCAGCCTGTCGAACATGACCTCGGGGCGGGGGGGCTGCTCCGCCTCCCCGCGGTCGAACTTTTCACCGCGAAACTGCTCGGGGAGCGGGCCGTCGTGCCAGCCTCGGCCTTGCCATGGCATCCAAGACTCCGCGCAGGCTCGCGCGGGACCTGGCTGCCATCGAGAAGCGTGGGGCGTTCTCGATACACCCATCGGTCGGAAGAGGTCGGAAGGAGTTGCGGGGTGAGATCGCAGTGAAACGGAGACCCCCCACCGGGAAATCGGTTTTGGTTTCGTGTTCGTGTCGTGCGTGCGGGCGAGGCGAAGCTGCGCGTGATCCTCCTGTAGCTAGGCCGAAGTAGGAGCGAAAGTCCGTTCCCGTCCGCCGGTGGCTGGGAGGTGTCCCAATTGGGCCGGGCGGTGTCCCGGGTGTCCTGGTGTCAGTAGGAAAGTCCGTTTCCCGTCCGCCAGTGGCCGGGAGGTGTCCCAGTTGGGCCAGGCGGTGTCCCGGGTGTCCTGGGCGTCCCGGCGCTAACGCATGTCGCTAATTCATGTTTTTCGGCGCCTGCGGCGGGCTTTCTTATCCAATCCAGCTTATCTTATCCAATCCATCTTGTCCAATCCAATACATCTTATCTTATCCAATCCACCCAACCAAATCCATCAATTCATTTGTTTCTGCGCCTGCAGCGGGCGAATCCAATACATCTTATCTTATCCAATCTACTTCTTCCAATCCAACCCATCTTATCTTATCCAATCCATCTCATCCCAGCCAATCCAACCCACCCAACCCAATCCATCAATTCATTTTTGTCGGCGCCTGCGGCGGGCTTTCTTATCCAATCCAGCTTATCTTATCCAAGGTGACAGGCTGGAGGTCAGTCAGGGTGGGCATTTGATCTCAATCCCCCCCAATCTCCTTATCGCCCGCAGGGTGGTCGTATAGGTAGGTATAGGAAGGCGTTGAAAATAGATTGGGTTCCGTCCGTCCCCTTGAGAAGACGGAAAAGGTGAAGCCACTCGATCATTGAAGTAGGAAGGCGCTTAAAGCAGATTGGAATCTGGGACTCCGGAAATACCTACCTTCGACAACCGATGGGTACTCGTTGTCCCTCTCTGGCCGCCGCACTCCTGTGTGGACAAGGGTCCCTGCGGCATTTCGGTGCCAAAACTGTGTCCTCCGCATGCCGCCGGCGTCGCGCAGTGGTGCGCATGGCCAGTGCACAAGTACGCACATAAGAGCACACCACGCACAGCAACGCCCGTCTTAACCAGTGGCGCATCCTCGAGCAGTCCCCTGTAGATGTCCCCAGACTTATGTACTTGAGGACCACATCCCAGAAATAATTTCGAGCACTCAGAAGAGTATCGAAACAATGTCGAGCGAGAATCGCCTCCCAGGGCCCGACACGTGAAAACCCCCAAATTTCGGAACTGTCTTGGTGCTCGAAATTCTTTCTGGTGATCAAGGCTGAAGTAGGTTGGAATATCATAACCCCAGACGCTTCTGGATTGGCGAATCCCTGTCTGCAGAGGCTCAACCGTCAAGAGCGCAAACTCTTGTCTGTGGCATGGCCCGTTTCTTCTTCGTGCGCCGCTCCCCGCCTGATCACGGGGGAATCATTAATATCAAACCCAAGGACCGACAGAACCGACGACGTGGACTCACAGGGAAAAAATGAAGGGGGGGGGGTCGCAAAACTGACGGAAACACCTCCCTCACCACTAAGATAACGTCACGAAAAACTGACGACCGCCACCTGGGGAACTGCGGGGATATTGCAGCGAAGAGGAGGGGTTGGGAATTCTGACGACGGCGCGGCCGCCCGACCCGTTAGTCCCCTTTGCCGCAAGTGAACCGACGACGGCGCGGCCAGAAAACCCCCAAGTCGCTTTCTATTGGAGTCGCGCTAGTGGCTCGCGGCCTGTATCTTCTCGGGGACAGCGCGGATGGACTCGGACATGTCCTTGGCGTAGCTGGCCAGGTTCTGCATCTCGCCCGCGCGCACCTCGTGGGGTGCAGGCCGGCCGCTGCCGTCCCTCTGCATCCTCCGCCGCTCGCCGCGCCACCCACGGCCCCCTCCTGCGGCTGATACCCCCTCCTGCTCCTCCTCCTCCTCCTGCCCCTTCCTCCTCCTCCTCCTCCTCCTCCTCCTCCTCCTCCCTCCCTCCCTCCCTGCCTCCCTCCCTCTTCCACCACCGAGCGCGCGGTGAAGGGAGGGCATGAGGAGGACGGAAGACGGAGGACAGAAGAAAAGGAGGATGGGGGACAGTGGGTGGGAACGAAGAGAGGGAGAGGGAGAGAGAGAGATAGAGATAAAGAGAAAGGCTTCCCCCTTCTCCTTTTACCCCCTACTCCTTCTCCTCCTGGCCCTTGAAATAAATGGTGCTGACTGGAATGCCGCGAAAAGCCTGCTGCGTGATCGCTGTCAACAGAATGCGACAACTTTGTGGCCTGGCTCCAGCGAGCCCCCATCGCCGGTGCAGTGGGACATGATGGGAGGGGGTCCAGGGAGACAAGGAAGACGAGAAGAAGGAGAGGCAGGTGCAAAGGGAGGAAGACAGGGGGAGGGGAAGGGAGGAGAGTGGCGGGTGTAAGAGCACCTATCTTACCTGCCAGCTCTCGACCAACTCCTCACGCTCTCTCTCTCTTTCTTTCTCTCTTTCTCCCACTCTCTCTCTCTCTCTCTCTTCCCGCCTCGCTTCCCTTTCCCGCCCTCTCGTCTCGCTGGCCTGGAAGCTCCTATCGGCGTCTTCGTTTCTTCGACTCTGACGTATCGCCTCCTCCAGCAACCCATGTCTACTATTGTGCACGCGGATGTTCTGTTTGAACTCCTCTCGCCGCCTCTTCTCACCTCTCCCCGCCCCACCTCTACTGCCAATGCAACTTCCGTCGCCTCTCCTCTCGGTTCTTCCGCATGTTCCCATCCAGATGCAGCGAGGAGGGAGCCCAACAAATTATGCTGAATTGCACAATCAACTTGGCCTAGCAGAAACCGAAGACAACGCGACGCCCCCCGATCCTCCTCCTCATCCTCCTCCTCCTTCTCCGCTCTCCTCCTGGGAGTCGATCTCCTTACAACCAGAAAGACACTTTACAACCGAGATAGGTCACTTCACAACCAGCAAAGGATCGAAATCGATGGTTTCCCTTTGAGAACGACCACATTGCAACCAGAGCGGCCCACTTTACAACCAGAGCGGCCCACTTTACAACCAGAGCGGCCACTTTACAACCCAGACAGGGCCCTTTGCAACCACAACGGCCACTCTACAACCAGCCTTCAGGAGCGCGTGCGCGCTCTGCAGAAGCGGACGCTTCTGAGTGCCCGTGCATTCTGCAGAGGCATCTGAGCGCCTGAGCGCTGTGCAGAGGCTTCAGAGCGCGCTAGCGTTCTGCAACGGATTGTGGCCGCCTGAGCGTTCTGCAGAGGCTCCTGAGCGCCTGGACGCTTTGCAGAAGCTTCTGAGCGCCTGAGCGCTCTGCAGAGGTTTCTGAGCGCCTGAGCGCTTTGCAGAGGCTTCCGAGCGCCTGAGCGCTCTGCAGAAGCTTCTGAGCGCCTGAGCGCTCTGCACAGGCTCCTGAGCGCCTGGGCGCTTTGCAAAGGCTTCTGGGCGCCAAGGCGCTCTGCAGAAGCATCTGAGCGCCTGAGCGCTCTGCAGAAGCTTCTGAGCGCCTGGGCGCCTTGCAGAGGCTTCCGAGCGCCTCGGAGCTCTGCAGAGGCATCTGAGTGCCTGAGCGCTCTGCAGAAGCTTCTGAGCGCCTGGGCGCTCTGCAGAGGATTGTGACCGCTTGAGCGCCCTGCAGTGGCTTCTGAACGCCTGGGCGCTTTGCAAAGGCGCCTGAGCGCCGGAGCGCTCTGCAGAGGCATCTGACCGCCTGGGCGCTTCGCAGAGGCTTGTAAGTGCCTCCTGGGCGCTCTGCAGGAGCATCCGATCGCGTCATCGCTTTGCTGATGCTTCTGAGCGCATAAGCACTTCGCAACGGCTTCTGAGCGCTTGAGCGTTCTGCAGAGGCTCCTGAGCGCCTGAGCGCTCTGCACAGGCTTCTGAGCACCCGAGCGTTCTGCAGGTTTCTGAGCGCCTGAGCGTTTCGCAAAGGCTTCCGAGCGCCCGAGCGCTCTGCAGAGGCTTCTGAGCGCCTGGGCGCTCTGCAGACGCTTCTGAGCGCCTGGGCGCTTTGCAAAGGCTTCTGAGCGCCTGGGCACTCTGCAAAGGTTTCTGAGCGCCTGAGCGCTCTGCAGAGGATTGTGACCGCCTGGGCGATTCGCAGAGTTCTCCAGGGGCCTCAGCGCTCTGCAAAGGTTTCTGAGCGCCTGAGCGCTCTACAAAAGCTTTTGAGCGCTTGGGCGCTTCGAAGAGGATTGTGACCTTCCGAGCGCCCTGCAATTGCTTCAGAGCGCATGGCACTTTGCAGATGCTTCTGGGCGCCTGGGCGCTTTGCAGAGGCTTCTGAGCGCCTGGGCGCTGTGCAAAGGCTTCTGAGTGCCCGAGCGCTCCGCAGAAGCTTAAGAGCGCCTGGGTGCTCTGCAGAAGCTTCTGAACGCCTGAGCGCCCTGCAGGTTCTGAGCGCCCGAGCGTTTTGCAGAGGCTCCCGAGCGCCTGAGCGCTCAAGCTCCGGCCCCAGAGCGCCTGAGAGCCTCCTGCAGGAATTTGGCCAACGATTTGTTGACCACATGTCTGCCCTCGTGGTTACGCATGCTTCCGCGAATTCGAAAACATCAAGTATTGTTATTGCCATGCGATGAGGCGGGGAAACAAAAACTGCTTGCGATGCCAAACGATACAAATCGAAGTCCGCATGCACTGACTGGAATTTGGCCCGCGATTTCTTGTGCGCATTATCGCCCTCCTGGGTACGCATGATTCCGCAATCGCGCAAATATGCGGTTTAGCATTGCCAGACGATGGGGCGCGAGAACAAGCGTGGCCCATGATGCAGAACAAAAAACACGATTTGAAATCCACGTGCAATGGCTAGAGTTTTACAAACGATTTCTCGGCCACGTTTCTGCCTTCCTGGGTACGCATGCTTCTGCGAATGCGAACACATGCGGTTCTGCCATTGCTGGACGCTGAGGCGCGAGGGCGCAAATTGCCAACGCTGCCAGAAACAGTAAATTCACATCCGCACGTAGTGGTTCGAATGTTACCATCAATTGCTTGACCACATGTCCACCCTCTTGGGCACGCATGCTTCCGCAATTGCCAGACGATGGGACGCGAGGACAAACATGATTTATGATACAACAAGCACATGTTGAAATCCACGTGCATTGGCTAGCATGTTACTATCGGTTTCTTTTCCACATGTCCGCCCTCCTGAGCGCGCATGCAACTGCAAATGCGAAAACGTACGGTTTTGCGATTGCCAGACGACGGGGCGCGAGGACACAAGTTGCTTCTGAGGCCGAAACACCTGCTAAAATCAACATGCGTCGGCTAGAACTCTGCCGTCATATTCTTGGCAACAAATCCGCCCATCCGCCCTCCTGGGTACGCATGCGTCTGGAATTGTGAACGCACACTGTTTCTTGCGATTGCCAAACGATGAGGCGCGAGGACATACATGGCTTATGATGCAGAAAAAACAGTTTGAACTCCACATGTGTTGGTTAGAATGTTACAAATGATTTCTTGGCCGCATTTCCGCTTTCCTGGGTGCACATGCTTCCGCGTACGCGAAAACATACGGTTGCGCCGTTGCCAGACGATGCGGCGCGAGGGTACAAGATGTCCACGGTGCAAGAATATGAAATCCGCATGTTGCATTTAGAACTTTGCCTTTTGCCAACAACTTCTTGGCCGCGTTCCCGCTCTCCTGGGGGCGTGCGTGTTCCTCTGCGTCTTTTGCTGCGAACGCTTACTGTCCTTCTGTTGCCAGAAGAAAGAAGATTATCCGACAGAGGTTTTTAGGCTCCAACAGCGATGTAGATTTAGGGCATGGATGCTTAAAACAGCTTAAACCGCCCAGGCCTGTCGCCAGCCCCTTGCGGGAGGATCTCGATTGGATCTCAATTGGGTTCCAATCGCTCCTTATGGGTACCACAAGGATTGCAATAGGACGCCAATATGGGCACAGTTTGATTCAAAGAGGACAGGTTCTTGTTGGGTGACAATTGGGCCCTGATGGGATCTCAACAATATGCCCGCGTGAATCGAAAAGGAAGGATTCCAGTTGCATTCCAATGCGGTGTCCTTTGCATTTGCCAATCTGGTTCCGGTGGGATTCCAAGACAGACGGTTCCTACTGAAGAAACCAAAAGAATCACGACCAGGTTTCCATATCATAGTACCCCCAATGCGTTCCCGCAGCATTCCAATAGGAAGGTTCTTCGATTGTGATCCAATGGGGTTTGCAATCGGTTTCCATTGGGCGCCAACGGGTTCTAATAGGACACATCCCTTTCGGATTTCAATACGACACCCGTAGGCCCCGTAGCGGGAAATCGTGGATACCAACGGGATTCACATGGTGCCAACATGATCCCAGTGGGAAGGGTGCCAATAGGATTCCCATGGGATTCCCGCTGGATCCCATTCATAATCCGCCACTTCACAGATTCTCGCTTCAGACGAATCACTTTACAACCAACGCGCTGCAGAGAGCGAAGTGTCTCCCGTACCTGGACTTACGGAGATTTCGGAAATTGAAGAACATGTGTCGCTTATGTGCGCTGCCTTGCCTGGTTGTAAAGTGGCCTTCCTGGTTGTGAAGTGCCTTCTGGGAAAATACATGCTGGTTGTAAAGTGCCCCATCTGGTTGTAAAGTGGCCAGTCAGATTGCAATGTGACCCGCACGCCTCTCCTCCTCTCTCCTCTTCCTCCTCTTCCTCCTCTCTCCTCCTCCTCCTCCTCCTCCTCCTCCTCCTCCTCCTCCTCCTCCTCCTCCTCCTCCTCCTCCTCCTCCCTCCGCCTCCTCCTCCTCCTCCTCCTCCTCCTCCTCCTCCCTCCTCTCCTCTCTCCTCCTCCTCCTCCTCCTCCTCCTCCTCCTCCTCCTCCTCCTCCTCCTCCTCCTCCTCCTCCTCCTCCTCCTCCTCCTCTCCTCCTCTTCCTCCTCCTCCTCCTCCTCCTCCTCCTCCTCCTCCTCCTCCTCCTCCTCCCTCTCCTCCTCCTCCTCCTCCTCCTCCTCCTCCTCCTCCTCCTCCTCCTCCTCCTCCTCCTCCTCCTCCTCCTCCTCTCCTCCTCCTCCTCCTCCTCCTCCTCCTCCTCCTCCTCCTCCTCTCCCTCCCTCCTCTCTCCTCTCCTCCTCTCTCTCTCTCCTCTCTCCTCCTCCTCTCTCCTCCTCCTCCTTCCTCCTCCTCCTCCTCCTCCTCCTCCTCCTCCTCCTCCTCCTCCTCCACCTCCTGGACGGAACGGCGATGCGCCG